AACAAGGAAGAACTGGTTGCTGTGGTGGAAATGTGGAGAACTTTGTGGGAAGTAACCAGTTTATCTTCTAATGTGTGATAGAGAGCAGAATCAGGAATTCAATTCAATTCAGTTCATTCTAAAATTTGTGATTCCAAGAAAGGAACTTGGACATAGTCTGACATGCACCCTATATTTTTAGAGAACAGATTTCAGTGGATTCAGAAAAAAAGGATAAGTAGAATCACAAGGACTATATTTTTAGAAGATGCCAGCCTATGGAAATGCTTAAGAGTGGAATTCTAAAGAAACAAAGACAAGTAATTCTAGTGAAAAAGAAAAGAACAGATTGTCTAAAGACACTGATATGGTTGCATATCAACCAATGTAGACTTAAAAGAAATAGATAGGGAAGATGGAAGCAAAGGCAGACAATTGAGAATGAATAAATATGTGCGACGAAGTCCTGTAAAGAATAGTGTCAGGGGTACAAAAACTCAGAATGAGCTAAAGCTTATGAGGAAAGCAAAGGACCACCAAAAAAGGGTGATAAGTGTTAGGGAAAAGAGGTGGGTTAGAACTGCCATCTCCTTGGTGAGATGAGAAGGAGAAGGAGGAGAAAGAGGAAGAGAAAGAAGAAGGAAGAAGAAGAAGAACTACTACTACTCCTTGACACTAATATTTGGACTGGAAGGCACAAAACAAAAATGGCTAATAGAGGTAAATATGGAGGCAGGAAGAGAGTTCATGTTACCAGACCCTCATGAACTACATCTCAGGTTGCTGAAAGAAGTGGCAGCCATGACTTCCGAGCCACTATCACTGATCTTGGAAAATATTGAGGCAAATGAGAAAAGTAATACAGAAGTGGAGAAGGGAAAATGTTACTCTGATTTTTGGAGAAGGGAAGAGAGTTGAATCTACAACAATGAGGCCAATGGGATTGGTTTTTCTTCCTAGCAAAATTTTAATGCATGGCACTAAAGGGATAGTGAACAAACACTGATCACAAAGAGCCAGCCTGTCTCAATTCATCAAGAATTGGTGACAGCAGCCCATGATGGAATCACCTTATCTTCTCTTTTGAAACAGTTACTAAACTGGTTTCTTTAGTTTTTAAGCAAACCATGATTTTGTAAGTGTTGGGAAGTCACATTAAGGTAACTCCCTCTACTAACATGGATTGGCAACTCTTTGGCAACCAAGCTTTTAAATCAGGGAAATATTGTAGATATGATTTGCACATATTTAGCAAACTATTTTACAGTATCTCTGATGCTATTTTTGTGAACAAGATGGAGAAATATATGCTAGACAATAGGTCAACTTGATGCTGGTTAAGTAGCTGACACCAAAGTTTAGTGTATTTAATGGTTCAGTGTCAACTCAGATGAGGAGCTGGTAATTGAGCTGCCCAGAGATCTGTCCTTGACCTTGGACTGTGTAACATTTTCCTTAACAAGTTGGATAAAGGCAATGGATGGCATGCTTATCAAATTTGCAGATAAGAAAAAGGTAGGAGGAACAGCTAACATGTTAGGTGACAGGATACAAAAAGATCTTGACAAGCTAAACTGTTGGACTGAATCAGATAAGATTACATTTAATATGCATAAATACCAAGTCTCACATTTAGATTTGGATTACTAGCTTCACAAGTACAAAATGGGCTAGACAGTATTTTATCTAAAAAGATCTGGGGATCTTAAGAAAACAATATGAGTCATTAGGGAGATATTGCAGACAAAAAAAAGCTAATATGCTTCATAGACAACATGATAGACAGCAATTTGCATACTAGTGATATAAAAGATATTATCAAAAATACATTGAGATATTAAAGTTAGCGTCCTTGATACATACTATTTGAAAATATTGAAAATTGGGATCCTGGCCCACTAAACATCTTTCCCAACCTTTCCATTCCAGAAACCTTTTGCATTCACTCCGGTGAAAGTGAAGAGAAATGATAGCTGAAGGAGATGGCAAGACTAAATGAAGGTTGTTTTTGAGGAGGTTGAGGAAAATCTGTGAATGTATATAGGCTGTAGAGAAGGAACCAGTGGATGAAGAGATATGGAAGATTTGGAGGGAGGGGATGATCTAATCAACAAGTTACTGAAGAGGATAGCATGTAATAGGAGAGCATAGGTAGAGAAGTGAAGTAGAGAACTTTTTGGCAAGGAGAAAAACAGCCTCTTCTTCTGAAACTGGAGGAAAGAGGAAAGAGTGGAGGAGGATGCTGAGGAGATCCAAAGGATGAAATAGAGGAGGAGAAGGAGCTCCTAATTGGTATGGGTGTGTTGAGAAGAAATCTGTAATTGAAGCTAGGGGAAGAGGAGAGTGGGGTCCATCAGGGAGTAAGATGTTTGCCATTCATTGATAAAGGCCCATATATACATACAGGAGTTCAGAAATCCAAAAGGGTTTAGGATCTGTTCTTAGCAGTCTCTTTTTCAGTTATCTCACCCCAAGTGACCTAAGTGGGACTAAGGAAACAAGACCATCTATTCAGAGGTTGTAGTAGGTTCTTCTGGATAGCACCCCCAGGCTGTGGCAGCCCACCTTCCCCACTCAGTTCAGCAAAAATCTACTAACTGTCTGTAGCAACTCAAGCCAATTTATTTGGGAAAGAGGGAAGGAGGTGCTAGGGGTTTCATCAATGCTAAAAGAGCCCCTGAACCAATCACTTAACACTGTTTGCCTCCATTTCCTCATCTGAAAAATGATCTATAGAAGGAGATGGCAAATCACTCCAGTAATTTTGCCAAGAAAATCCCAAATGGGGTCGTTCACAAAGAATTGGACATAATTGAAACAACTGAATAACAACAAAAAAGAGCTCCATGACTATAATCTTTTGGAAAGAATATTTTAAATGTCCTTCCTGCCATGATGGTTGCAGAATTCTTTATCTCTTTTCCTTTGCAAATCTCCCTCCACTCACCTGACCATCACAAACACACACACACACACACACACACACACACACACACACACACCCTTCAAGGCCAGACTCATCTCCTACTGTATTACAGAGTTTATCTTTCTCGTGCTGTGGTGAGCAGTCTTTATGCAGCCCAACTAAATAGCATTTTTGTAAAGCAAGCACACAGTTCTTTTCTTGGCTAATTTGTCTTAAGTGGTTTGCATTGAAATGAAACATATTTAATTCAAAGGTTCCTGATGGTAGTAGTATGGCAGGAGTGATATGACATCAACACAGCACTCATTTTATTTTAAAAATCTGTTTTGTCATTGTTGTTCAGTTGTGTCTGACTCTTCATGACCCCTTTTGGGGTTTTCTTGGCAGAGATACTGGAGTGATTGGCAGTTTCCTTCTCCAACTCATTTACAGATGAGGAACTGAGGCAAACAGGGTTAAGTGACTTTCCCAGGGTCACACAGTTAGTAAATGTCTGAGGCCAGATTTGAACTCACAAAGATGAGTCTTCCTGATTCCAGGCCTGGCATTCTATCCACTGCCCCAGCTAGGTGCCCTTAATATCTATTAACAAAAGCCAAGCAGAAATCACAGGACATAAATATCTCTGACAATTGAGGAAGGCTGGTTAATCATCAGGTATGAGCATACCAGGGCTTGATCAAAAGCTTCAGAGCACTCATTTTTATTCAAATAGTTGTGATGAAAAATTTGCCACCACTTAAAACCTCTTCCAAGCTTTGTTTATGAGAAGAAAATCAATGCCACAGTAACACCCAGGAACCATTGAATCAGAAAGTGATTTAAATAATAGGACACAAAAAAATCACGAAAAGGGCTAGACCAAAAAGCCAATCAGACAACTACAGCAAACCCAAACCTTCTATGATGAACCTTGAAGATCTGTGTCCTACTTCAATTCAAAGAATTTGGACTCATAGATTTAGAATTGGCAGAGAGTTTAGGTGACATCTGGTCCAATGCCCTCATTTCCTACATGAAGTGACTGAGGCCAAGAGAAGTTATAACTTGTGTAAGGTAATACAAGAAGTAAATGAGAGAACAAGGCCTTGAGCCCCAGCCCTCTGATTCCAACCCTCTTTCCACTTGTATCTCATTGAATTCAATTAATTAAACATGTGTTAAACATCTATTATGTGTAAAGCAAAGTTCTAGGCAGTGGGGCTACAAAGACAGAAAGGAAACAGCCCTTGCCTTCATTCATTCATTCGTTTCTTCAACAAGCATTTATTATATGCCTTCTGCATGTAATATACCAATTCTGAGAGAGGTATAAAGGTAAATTGGGCATTCTCTGGAAATTTATGAAATTATTTAGTTGAAGAGTTAAGATATGCATACAGATAACTAAAATACAAATTATAATTATTATATTATAAATGTGATCAAAGAAGCATTTTGATATCAGATGATAGGGAGATCGCTTCCAGTTTGGGGGTGTGATGGGGGTCAGGGAGAGAACTGGGGACCAAGGAAGACTTCATAGAAGAGATTTGACCTGGAGCATGAAGGTGGCTCTTCATGTAAAAAATCAAAGATTATATACCCTAATAAGAACATATTGGGTAGTTTGAAATTATCTGAGTTAATTATTAGAAGGATAAGCAAAGTTGTGTATTCCAGATTTAGAATATGTTCCTTGAAATTATTTTGTGTCCAGTTGATAAAACATTAGCATCATCATCATCATCATCATCACTGGGGAAAAACTGATATTTATTATCACTTTAAGGCTTATAAAAGTAATTTATGTATATGATCTCAATTGGGCTTCACAAGAACCCTAGGAGGTGGGTGGTCAGAGAAGGAAAGAGAGGGTTAGAAGGTCTATAACAATCACATAGATATTGATGACAAAGATGAGATTCAAACTCATTTCTTTCATGTTCAAGTACAATGCTCTTCCCACTCTCCCATGCCACCATATTTTTCTGTTATCCAATAACCTTTTGATCCTTCTAATCATTGAGAGATGCTAATTTTCTAATTTTATAACCATATTTGGCTAACTTGGTTAACTTTCCTGTTTGTGTTTGTGTGTGTTATTACTTGGCAGGTAGGAGATCAGATCATTGAAATCAATGGGGAAAGCACAAGAGACATGACACATGCCAGAGCAATAGAGCTAATCAAGTCTGGAGGGAGAAGAGTGAGGTTGCTGCTGAAACGTGGAACAGGACAGGTCCCAGAGTACGGTGGGTTTTCACATCATAATTCACCTTTTGTGTCCTGCTATGCACTGAAAATATTCTTGCCCTTTTTAGAACTAAATCAATTCTCTGTTTCTACCTAACTCTATATTTAGCTATCACTATATAAATATATTTTAAAATATCTATTTAAACAAATATATATATGATATGCTACTCAGTATGTGTACAATGTTTTCAACTGGAAATGTAGATAATGCTAGCATTTTCCAGGACATCTCTGAGTGTGCTAGGAGATTACGCAAATATTCATGGATTGAAATACATTTTCCTTTTAACTTTTGCAGGTATTTTTCTGTTCATTTGGGTTCACAGTAATTTACAAATTATTTCCTAAAATTACTTGTGCATCAGTCATTTATGATTCTTTAGCAATATTGAAAGATACTCATGCCTTTCTTATTTATCTGTCAGTCTTTAAAGAGATCTATTTCCAGATATTTTGATGGCTTACAGTTTAAAACAAACTTCATTTCATCTGGAAGTTGTATTTCTTTTACTTTTTGAGATTTGGGTTTCCCCGCTCTCTTCCCCCATTCACAAATACCCTCCTTTATTATTTATCTGCTAACCTTTCCAAACATCTATTGGAAATGCATTTGAGACTATAAATTTGTGACTTCAGCAGGCTTTTGAGTGATTATTTCCCTATGGCCAGTTTAGAACATTATCAAAATCATTATTTTATTGGGTATCACAGCATGGGTCTGTCATATGAAATGCAGAGTGGTATCAGCTGAGAAAACTGAAGGAAAGAGTTGAGCTAATCAATTATCCAATGCTGCAGTCATTGTGAATGGCTGATCTGAACATGGGAGCTCAGTCCCACCTTACTATGACTCCCTTTTCCTTCCCCGCCCAAGCAAAAAAAAAAATCCTAACCACACTTTTCGCATGAATCATCTAGGAATTGTTTCAATTTCCATTTCATTTTCCCAATATATACACAACCTCTGAGCCCAGTGGAACCATCCAAATTCAGCAACTCTTGAGTAGTTTGTAGAATGTAAGCTCCTTGAAGAGAGGTACTATTACATTTTTATGTTTATATCCCCAGCATCCAGCACAGTATCTGGCACATAGTAAGCACTTACTAAAGTGCTATTGAATAGTTTATCCTACAGTAAAATTGAATAATTTTGAATAGTTTATCCTACAGTAAAAAAAAAAAATTAAAATGTGAATCTCAAAGTTCACCAGAGAGTGAAGAACACCATGTGGATAGTCCTCAAAAGTTTTCTCTAGGACTGGATTTATGCCCAGTGAAATGTAAGGAAATATTTCATAGCAGGGACCAACTCTGATTTTATTTTAGTGGTTTTTAATGATATTAGCAACATTGACTAACTTGAACAGTAAATGCAAGCTAAATCATATTACGGGAATCAATTAGGTATTGGTGTTATGTATTTTGTAAATTATATAAACTCTGATTTATATCATTATCATTTGATTCCCTGAACTTTTCTATGACTAAATAATATCATAGTGACCTACAAATTCTAATCATTTCTAAAAAAGATATGTTTGCAATAAAGATATATTTCACTTATCTGTCAGGATATAGCTAAATATTATCTATGCCAGAAAAAGAAGTTAATCAAATGTTAGCAAATGCAAACAAGAAAAAAAACTAATTAAAATATATATACTATATATGTGTAATATATTACTCAAAAATAAAATACTGCTGCTATTCAATAGATATACATTTACATATATATTATCATTCACTTCCTCTTGAGGCTCTCTTGCTGGTTCCCATATGCTTTGCAACTTCCATCAATATGGGGTGAGCCCTCAGCCCCAATACTCTTAATAGATTTATAATTAGAAACTATATAAGTAATAGTATACATCATAGGGCTACTAAGTGGTGCAGTAGATTGAGCACCAAGCCTGGAGTCAGGAAGACCTGTATTCAAATCCAGACTCAGACACTTCCTAGCTGTGTGACCCTAGGCAAGTCACTTAACCATGTTTGTCTCATTTTCTCATCTATAAAATAAGCTGAGAAGGAAATGGCAAACCACTCCAGTATCTTTGCCAAGAAAACCCCAAATGGAGTCACAACTCAGCAACAACAAAAAGAATACATCATAAAAATAAGTATTAATTCTTTCCTATGATTCAAGAAATAGATTTGCAACAGACTGCTAAAATACATTCTCTGCATATTTTAGAATTAGTCAGCTCAATTTTAACTTTATCCAGAGAGGTCAAACCAAAATTAAATCTTTCAGAGACAAAACAGAGTTTGCTCATCATTTGAGTTTAGCCAGTAATGTCACCTAAACAATTGAACTTTCACTCTGGTCTTTAATTCTATTAAACTGATGACAGTTATGTTGTAATAGTCTCTTTGTTTTTCCCGTATTCCACAGTCCCAGACTTGTTCAGTAATATTAAGCCTACTTGGTTAATTTCGACATTATCTAGATTTTGACTATAGAATAAAAACATAATAGCTTACAGAGAAACTCACTTTAAAAAAGGACAGCACGCTAGAAACTAGACTTTTGCTCTTGAAGCAAAACTAATGTGTTAGATAAAAAGTTTTTCACCAGAAGTTTAAAAGGTTGACGATCAGGTCAGCAATTTTTTTTAGAGTGTAACTAATTTTTTTTTTGGAGTGACGTTTCTGCAATCTCTTAGGGGCTCATTAGGAAAAAGCAGTTCAAAGAAGCAGCCACATCAGAGGATGATACTAACCACCAGCTGAAGTAGCTATGAACACCCAAGGCTAAAAAAAAAATAATAATTCTAACAGAAGTTGATGAAATGTAGTATAAACTGATATACACACATACATGTACACACATACACACACGTGTGCATGTGTGTGCGTGCGGGTATGTGTGTGTGTGTGTGTGTGTGTTTTATATTTAACATCAAAAAGAGGGAGTAAACAAAATTAGGAGATGTCTCTTTTCTGGCAACAAATGGAGAACTTATGTTTATTAGTTAACCGGGAGGAAAGTATTATATTTCTGGTGTCTACTGCCATCTTAATCACAGGAAATTTGATTTTATTTGTTTTAATGAATTTAAATTTTGTGACATTCAATCCTGAGATTTGCTGTGGTGAGCCTCTTAAATTTCAGATCCCAAGCTTAGCCTAAATTCCATCTTCAAAGGATTATTTTGTGGATTATTAGAGCCCATGGGAGATACACCTTAACCTCCCAGGGAAATGCAGGCTTAAAGCAGTAAGGGAAAGACTAAACTCTGAAGATTATCAGACTGTAGAACTCTTGTCTAGTTAATGATTTTGAAGATATCAACCAGCCCTCTGATACCTACACAAGTGGAAACATCTTTAAAGCAAGACCTTTATCAGGATTTGTGAGCAATGTCAAGAAAAATCAGGGCCTGGTCAAGAGAAATAAGAAAAAAAAAGGAAAAAATACCTAGCATCAAGCTCCTAAGGTGTTCTGTGACAGAGAGATAAGCACAGAGGCAAAGGAAAGAAAAAACACCCAGGGCATCTGACAGATTATTGACTGAGAAAAATCTGTGTGAATCCAAGTGAGCTACGAAAAGGAATAAAATGTGCTGCAAATGTGTCATACGTACCGGGGGCAGAAATTACTTCAGAATTCAAAAGCTTTCTCTGCCAACTCAGAGGGGGAAATTCACAATTTCAGCCAGGAAATCCGTGATCACACAGAGAGGCCTGTCAGAAGAACCATGGAGGGGAGCAGAAAATGATAAAAGGGTTCGGAAGTGGTGGAACTTGAAAGAGAAGCTTGGGAGATATATTTCTTTTCTACTCTAAACCTTAGACTAAGAGTGTGTTGGTGTTGAGGCCAGACAAAGGGATGAATTGTTCCCATTTATCCCCAGCTTGAACTAACAGAGAACATTCACTCCACTGAACCAAGGGAAAAAATGCACCATACTTAACAAGAATAATATAATTGTGTGTTGGTTATAAAAATGCCTTCTAAAACTGAGCATTGATAGAAAATTTACCCCCAAAACATGACCCTCTACCTGCCGCGGGATAAATTATACAACTCTCTACTTTGAAATAGATTCTTCTCTCAAGTCATGGGAAGAACCGCCAATGTTCCTTTATTTCATAAAACTGAAGTAAAGAAACCAGACTTGTCTTCTAGGAATAGAACAAGGCTCCAACATGAGGGATATGTACTTTGGCAATAATTTGCTATTCATGTTTGATCAAGCAATAGAGAAATGGGCTTTTCTGCTGCAGTTAATGCTGTTGGCCTCTCAAAAGGCACAGTAAAAAAAAAAAGCAGAAGGGAAACAGCAATAGTAATAAACATTTATTTAACACGTACTATGTGCCAGACACTGTGCTAAGCATTTTACGACTATTTTCTCATTTGATCCTCACAACTTGAGGTAGGTGCTACTATTATCCCCATTTTATAGATGAGGAAAGTGAGGCAGGCAGAGGTTAAGTGACTTGCCCAAGGTCATACAGCTAGCAAGTAACTGAGGCCAGGTTTGAACTCATTTCTTCCTGACTCCAGGCAAGTCAGACTAGGCTAAGGACTAACCATTTCTATCTACACAGCTGTGACAGATAAAAATAGTATCTACAGAAAGAAGCAAATCAGTTAAGTTGTCTTTCTGTTTATACTTTTATTCCTAAAGTTAATTGTGTAAATATTTGTTTCTAGCTCAATTATCAGCCCTTGGAAAATGAAACTGAATTGTGCAAGTGTAGTCAAACTTCATTAGTTTAGATTAATTTTGGAGAAATGCCTGTCTCCATGTCAGGCAAGGGTGGGGAACCTGCAGCCTTGAGGCCACAAGTGGACCTCTAGGTCCTTAAGTGCAGTCCTTTGATTTTGTGAAGTTTGGATTCAGTCAAAGGGCCGCACTTGAGGACCTAGAGGGCTTCATGTGGCCTAAAGGCCGCAGGTTCCCAACCCATGCATAGAATGTTGTTAAAGAAACATAATTTATGACTTTAAAGAATACACAGTCACTGTAACTAGGATAGAGAGCTA